ATGCATATATATATATATACATACATATATATACATTACATATTTCTATATATGTAAATGCATATAAATGTATATGTGTATATTATATATTTCATACTTATATATATATATATATGTACATGCATATAGATATATATATATATATATATAGGTATATGCATATATATATATATATATATATGTATATATAGCATATTCATATATATAAATATAAGTATATATTACATATTCATATATATAATATATACACACATATATATATATATATTTATATATATACAAATATATATATATATATATATATATTATATATTTATATATATTAGCTATATTTGGGGTGTATGCTTACCTCATGTTCGTGAGCTTCGATGCCTGCACTGTTGAGTTGTTCGGCTAATTGTCTGCGAGTTTTTGCTGCAGTGTTTGTCAGAAAGACAATTCTTTTTGTATATCTTCTCAGCACTTGGAGTGTCTCTGCAGCTCCTTTTAAGGGGGTATTACCCCACAGAAGCACCCCGTCAATATCAAAGATAAATGTTTGATTGTTTAAAAAAAATTGTTCAAGTAATGCTGATGAAAACCCTAAAACCCTAAACCCTAAACCCTCAAGTTCTGCGTATTCTGATGTATATGCAGCCGCAAAACCTGATGGATTAACTAAAGCTGATTGACTCATTATCTTTTATTATCTTTATCTTTTATTATCTTTATCTTTTTTATCTTTATCTTTTTTATCTTTATCTTTTATCTTTCTACGATGAGGGTGTTGAACAGCAACTCCAAGTATTATTACACACCTAAACCCTAAACCCTAAACCCTAAACCCTAAATCCTCCAGGGGGTCCAACGGCGGGGATTTAGGGTTTAAGGAGACACTGAGGCCCAAGGGTTTAGCGAGAGATAAACAGCCTAGGGTTTAGGGTTTAGGGTTTAGGGTTTAGTACTCCGGAAGAAAGCAACGGCTTAGAGCATGGGGGTTTCGAGAGGGTTTAGAGAAAGGGTTTAGAGAGAGGGTTTAGAGCGAGGGTATAGGGAGAGGGTTTAGGGTTTAGGGTTTAGAGAGAGGGGCTAGGCCTTCAAGAGAACTGCGCAAGGTGGATAACCCAGCGGCGAAAACGAGGGTTTAGGGTTTAGGGTTTAGGGTTTGTGAGGCCGCGAGGATCGGTGGTTTGAGAAACCCTAAACCCTAACCCCTGAGGCAGAGCACGCTTCAAACCCTAGAATTCAATGAGAGGATCCGCAAGGTTGGGTAGATAAACCCTAAACCCTAAACCCTAAACCCTAAACCCTGAGGCCTTGCGAGGGCAGGCAGCCAGCTAGTTGGTTTAAAGAAATATTTTTTCTACGTTAAGAAGAGCAAAAGAGTACGAAGAATGATGTATTTTAAACATTTAATATCGGGTTTAGGGTTTAAGGTTTAGGGTTTAGGGTTTAGGGTTTAGGGGATACTTGTTGGGGCTGCAGCCGACCCTGCGTCCGCCTCAACCTTCGGGGTTTAGGGTTTAGGGTTTAGGGTTTAGGGTTAGCTGCTCTGCACCTTCTAACCGCCTTCTTCTTTGGTTTTATATTCTTCGGAAGTCGTATCATACTCAAGCCCTGTGGTTTAGGGTTTAGGGTTTAGGGTTTAGGGTTTAGGGTTTGCGTTTACTGACACCAGCGGCGAGCCGTCCGCTACTCAGATGCTTCGGGTGTATATACAGCTTGTGAGGCCCCACACCTCTCTCTTCTCTTCTAGCTGCAACCCCTTTGCTGCTTTTGTTGCAGGACGTGCTTCAACAGCTTCCGTTGCTGCTGCTCCCGCTGCTGCTGCTGCTGCTGCTGCTGCTGCTTCAGATCGCTCTGGGGCTCTGCCTAGGGTTTCCTTCTGCACACAGCAACAGCGCTCGCTGCTGCTGTGTCAGAGAGTGCAGCAGCAGCAACACCAGCTGCTGCAGCAGCACTTGCTGCAGCAGAAGCAGCAGCAACAGCTGCAGCAGAAGCAGCAGCAACAGCTGCAGCAACAATACCTTCTGCTGCACACGCACACAAAAGGAAGGGCAGATAAGGCAACCGACGCAGCTAACAACAGCAACAGCAGCAGCAGCAGCAGCAGCAGCAACGGCACTGACAAAAGCAGCAGCAGCACCCAGGGCAGCAGCAGCAGCAGCAGCAGCAGCAGCAGCACGGAGCCTTCTGCAGCGAAAATGACACGACAGAGGAGGGTATACGGAGAAACGCAGTCCAAGGTACTAAACCCTAAACCCTAAACCCTAAATATCCGAGGTCGCCCAGTGGAACATAAAAAATGCGCATTTGACGGTCTAGGGTTTAGGGTTTAGGGCCTAGGGTTTTAGGGTTTAGGGTTTAGGGTTTGTCCCGTTGCGCTGTGCTTTGTGTCTTTCAGCATCAGCAACCCTCCAGTCTAAATTTTATGAAGTGAGACGCTCACGCTTTAGCGTTTAGGGTTTAGGGTTTAGGGTTTAGGGTTTAGGGTTTAGGGTTTGTGTGTTTCAAGGTGGGG